TATAATTTGATCTAGTTTTTTCCCTACAATTGGGGTCAGCTTATTGGGCGGTAAATTTGGGTAACACTTGCCCCTTTTTTAAAAAATGGGAGAATTCCCTCCCCAAATATCAGACACACAACCTTTTGAAGAGATAAATTAAAAATATAGTTAATGGTTCACAGAGTTCCATTTTGCATTCCTTTAAGCCCTTGAAAAAACCCATCAGGACCCGCGACTTTTTTTGCTTCATCTGCTATCTGCCTCAAAAACCATCTCACTAGGCTGTGATGTTACAAAAATTACTTCTTCAAGCCCACTGAAAAATTTTAATTACTGGAATATTTTTAGTGTTTCCTGTGTAAAAAATGAGAGAAAATAATTATTTTAAAAACAAGCCATTTCACTCATTGTCGTAAGGTGGCCCCTAAATTTTTTTTAAGGGGGCCTATCTTATCTTAATTTTGTTCTTAAAAACCCGGAAAAAAATTTTTTGGGGTTTGTTTTAGAACCCTAGCAATTTTAAATTTTATATCCCTTTTAGCTTTTCTTATCCCCCTTTTTTTGTCCCCCTTTAAAATTTTAATATACGATTCAAAAAGATGACCCTACCTCTTTTGATACGCCTAAAATTCCTTCTTATGCCCTATAGATATTTCAGCCCATTAAAATCCATTTTGGGGGTCATTTTATTTGATCTAATTTCTTTTTATGGGGTAAAAGCTCTTTGAGCAGCAGTAATGTTCAGAAAAAATTCATATTGATAGCTCTTTTCTTACCCCATCAAAAGATGATAAGTGTTCTCTAAGGCCCATCGTAAACTGCTAAGCGAAAATCGGGGCTGTTATGGTTATCGTACTATTTTCCCCATTCAATGCAAATGTAATTTATTTGTGGGCCCAGCACCCCGTTCCTCTGAAATTTCTAAATTATTAACAAGGGGTTTTGTTTGCCAAAATAAGTCAAGCGGTTATTTCCCCCTTTTAGGGTTTTGTCACAAACTGCTTCAAAAAACAATCCTGAAAAACTTTTAAAAGTCTACATTCTAAATTTCCCCGTAAAAATTCCAATCAACCTGACTAAAGTTAAAGTCTCCCCAGAATTCAATTAACGTGCCTTTGGGCCCTTAACAATTTTCCCCCATATAGTTTCCTTGGTCCCTACTAAAGGGGGACGGTAAATACTCCCAAAACAGTTTTTCATGCCCCTCGAAAATTCTACCAAACAGACTCTGTATGTGTTAAGATTAAACCCCCTTTTTTTTTGCAACAGTTTAAGCGATCCGGACATACAAAAAGCCCCCCCACCCCCCCCCCAATACTTCTATCTTCTTGGAAAATTTAAAACTTGAAAAGACTTCCGCAGGCATGTCCCCACTTTTGAAATTAAACCAGTCTCAGTAAGGCAAATACATCAATTTACCTACACTAGCAACTAATTTAACTCGTCCATCTTTCCTAGCACTACGGGGAATTAGCATAATAAACATTGAAAGACTCTCCTTTTTCTTTTCCCCCTTTCCCTCATTTCTATTTTTTTATAAACCTATTTCTGTCCTTTTCACCCAAGGTCCCCGGCTTTTCAATATCTATCTCTTCTATTATTACTGTTTCCCCCAAACCGTAAATTACTACATGGGACTTCACTGTTTTCCTGCCAAAACCATACCACTAACTATTTCAGTTTAAAGTCCTAACAAAGCGAAAAAAAGCTGAAGGGTAGGAGAGTTTCAGGGGGGGGAAATAAATGGATTAAATCGGGAAGTATCTGAGAGAGTTAGAGCAAAGGAAGGGTAGCAGTAAATTAAATGATCAGTTATGAAGGAGAAAAGAGAATATGAATGTGTAAATTCAAGAATTATGTGGATTAAAGTAAAGGTTGGATGCGAGAAGTGGGTCAAATAAGCGTGTATGCACCTGAGAAGAGAGGAATGCAGGGAGAGAGAGAGATTTTGGGGAGATGTTAAGTGAATGTATAGGAGCCTTTGAACCAAGTGAGAGAGTAATTGTGGTAGGGGACCTGAATGCAAAAGTAGGAGAAACTTTTAGAGAGGTGTGGTGGGTAAGTTTGGGGTCCCCAGGTGTAAATGATAATGGGGCCCTTGATTGAACTTTGTATAGAAAGGGGTTTAGTTATAGGTAATACATATTTTAAGAAAAAGAGGATAATAAGTATACACGATATGATGTGGGGCGAAATGACAGTAGTTTTGTTGGTTTATGTTTTGGGTAGATAAAAGACTGTTGAGTAGACTTCAGGATGTACATGTTTATAGAGGGGCCACAGAAAATCAGATCACTTTCTAGTTGTAGCTACACTGAGAGTAAAAGGTAGATGGGATACAAGGAGAATAGAAGCATCAGGGAAGAGAGAGGTGAAGGTTTATAAACTAAAAGAGAGGAGGCAGTTAGGGTAAGATAAAAAACAGCTATTGGAGGATAGATGGGCTAATGAGAGCCCTAGGCAAAGGGGTCGAAGAGGTATGGGGGGAGGTTTAAAAATGTAGTGTTAGAGTGTTCAAACAGAAGTTTGTGTTACAGGGAAAATGGGGGCAGGAGGGGAAAAGGAGCGATTGGTGGTTTTGATGATGTAAAGAGAGTAGTAAGGGAGAAAAAGTTAGCATATGAGAATTTTTACAAAGTAGAAGTGATGCAAGGAGGGAAGAGTAAAATGGAGAGAAAGAGAGAGGTTAAGAGAGTGGTGAAGCAATGTAAAAAGAGAGCAAATGAGAGAGTGGGTGAGATGTTATCAACAAATTTTGTTGAAAATAAGAAAAAGTTTGGAGTGAGATTAACAAGTTAAGAAAGCTAGAGAACAAATGGATTTGTCAGTTAAAAATAGGAGAGGAGAGTTATTAAATGGAAGTTAGAGGTATTGGGAAGATGGAGGGAATATTTTGAGGAATTGTTAAATGTTGATGAAGATAGGGAAGCTGTGATTTCGTGTATAGGGCCAAGGAGGAATAACATCTTGTAGGAGTGAGGAAGAGCCAGTTGTGAGTGTGGGGGAAGTTCGTGAGCAGTAGGTAAAATGAAAGGGGTAAGGCAGCCGGGATTGATGGGATAAAGATAGAAATGTTAAAAGCAGGTGGGGATATAGTTTTGGAGTGGTTGGTGCAATTATTTAATAAATGTATGGAAGAGGGTAAGGTACCTAGGATTGGCAGAGAGCATGCATAATTCCTTTGTATAAAGGCAAAGGGGATAAAAGAGAGTGCAAAAAATTATAGGGGGATAAGTCTGTTGAGTGTACCTGGTAAAGTGTATGGTAGAGTTATAATTGAAAGAATTAAGAGTAAGACGGAGAATAGGATAGCAGATGAACAAGGAGGCTTTAGGAAAGGTAAGGGGGTGTGTGGACCAGGTGTTTACAGTGAAACATATAAGTGAACAGTATTTAGATAAGGCTAAAGAGGTCTTTGTGGCATTTATGGATTTGGAAAAGGCGTATGACAGGGTGGATAGGGGGCAATGTGGCAGATGTTGCAAGTGTATGGTGTAGAGGTAGGTTACTGAAAGCAGTGAAGAGTTTTTACGAGGATAGTGAGGCTCAGTTAGAGTATGTAGGAAAGAGGGAAATTTTTTCCCAGTAAAAGTAGGCCTTAGACAAGGATGTGTGATGTCACCGTGGTTGTTTAATATATTTATAGATGGGGTTGTAAGAGAAGTAAATGCGAGGGTCTTGGCAAGAGGCGTGGAGTTAAAAGATAAAGAATCACACACAAAGTGGGAGTTGTCACAGCTGCTCTTTGCTGATGACACTGTGCTCTTGGGAGATTCTGAAGAGAAGCTGCAGAGATTGGTGGATGAATTTGGTAGGGTGTGCAAAAGAAGAAAATTCTAAGTGAATACAGGAAAGAGTAAGGTTATGAGGATAACAAAAAGATTAGGTGATGAAAGATTGAATATCAGATTGGAGGAGAGAGTATGGAGGAGGTGAACGTATTCAGAATTTGGGAGTGGACGTGTCAGCGGATGGGTCTATGAAAGATGAGGTGAATCATAGAATTGATGAGGGAAAAAGAGTGAGTGGTGCACTTAGGAGTCTGTGGAGACAAAGAACTTTGTCCTTGGAGCCAAAGAGGGGAATGTATGAGAGATAGTTTACCAACGCTCTTATATGGGTGTGAAGCGTGGGTGATGAATGTTGCAGCGAGGAGAAGGCTGGAGACAGTGGAGATGTCATGTCTGAGGGCAATGTGTGGTGTGAATATAATGCAGAGAATTCGTAGTTTGGAAGTTAGGAGGAGGTGCGGCATTACCAAAACTGTTGTCCAGAGGGCTGAGGAAGGGTTGTTGAGGGGTTCGGACATGTAGAGAGAATGGAGCGAAACAGAATGACTTCAAGAGTGTATCAGTCTGTAGTGGAAGGAAGGCGGGGTAGGGGTCGGCCTAGGAAAGGTTGGAGGGAGGGGGTAAAGGAGGTTTTGTGTGCGAGGGGCTTGGACTTCCAGCAGGCATGCATGAGCATGTTTGATAGGAGTGAATGGAGACAAATGGTTTTTAATACTTGACGTGCTGTTGGAGTGTGAGCAAAGTAACATTTATGAAGGATTCAGGAAACCGGCAGGCCGGACTTGAGTCCTGGAGATGGGAAGTACAGTGCCTGCACTCTGAAGGAGGGGTGTTAATGTTGCAGTTTAAAAACTGTAGTGTAAAGCACCCTTCTGGCAAGACAGTGATGGAGTGAATGATGGTGAAAGTTTTTCTTTTTCGGGCCACCCTGCCTTGGTGGGAATCGGCCAGTGTGATAATAAAATAATAATAATAATGTAAAATATTCAATAAATGCCAGACAACAAGTTTACACTAACTTATATTAAGTTAGCAATAGAAATAGGCATTAAAAACACAATAAAAGGTAAGATACACACAGAGTACACTTATTACTTACCTTAAAATATTAATATTAATGTGTGAGAGGTGAGTGGCATTGTGTTTATTGAATAAAATCAGAATGGCACACCATCATCCTCCAAATTGGCACTAGCAAGAGGCTTACGACTTCTCTTTTTATTACAGCTAACCTTAGACGCCATCATCAATGAGAGCCAACTAGCTAACGAAAGAGTAAACGAGAGAGAGAACAAGATACAGAGTTGAGACAATGTAAGAACACAAACTGAACAGGTAGTGGACGATCACTTGGTCAGGCGAAATAAATGCGTATTAATATGTGTCTACTTTTAGTTCATTCACGTCCATTTGTAAGAGTTTGTAAAACATTTACCTCAATATTTTTTTATTTTAATAATAATTACCTCACAATACAAATGTCTTACATTGTGTACAAGTTGTACAAGTTAGTTCAGAATAAACAAACAGTGACACACCATTTTTAGAGTGAATGAAGATAATATTAATAATAATAATAATATTATTATTATTATTTTTAATAATATTATTATTATTATTATAAAAAGCACTAAACCCACAAGGGTCATGAATTGCTATATATAAAGGCATACGAAAAGAATATTTTTCTACAGTTATCCCCCAGTTTGACTAGAGAAAACGTAATTCTTCTGACACTACCTACACAGCTGCTTTGTAAACAAATCTCATATTTACGTCAATTTTTATTCTGTGAGTGTATCATGTTTCATATATAATTTTGAGGAAAATATCATAGATGGATTAATGAAAAGGCCTATACAGTGGACCCCCGGTTAACGATATTTTTTCACTCCAGAAGTATGTTCAGGTGCCAGTACTGACCGAATTTGTTCCCATAAGGAATATTGTGAAGTAGATTAGTCCATTTCAGACCCCCAAACATACACGTACAAACGCACTTACATAAATACACTTACATAATTGGTCGCATTCGGAGGTGATCGTTATGTGGGGGTCCACTGTATTGATGTAAAATAAGACATTTAGTGTGCCCAAGAGTGATTATTATTACGTAGTGTTGGCGTCATGAGTAGAGAGAGACTTAGCGATTCTAATGTGTACCTGCACACCAGCACAGTGTGTAAGTATATTTAGGTACAGGTACACATAAGTATAATTATCAGAGTACATGTAAAATATGCAGTAACTTTAAAACACTTGAAATTTTGGAAAGTTTCTTGACATAATAGATGTGGTCACGGAAAATGTAAACAAACCGGGGGGGGGGGCGTATTTGAAAGACTGCTTGCCATATAGCAAATTTTGGTCAGAATTTGACATCGCCGTATTAGCAGAACGCCGTAAGGTGAAACGCCATAAAGCGGGGCCTTACTGTACATGTACAGTTCTCCCTCAACATTAGCATTTTCAACTTTCGTGGGCTTCACACATTCGCGAATTCCCACCTGCCACATTCCCAGCCGCCAAATCATATTTAAGTTTCCCACCACCTGCGAATCCCTAACTACCCTCCTTCCGACCCCTGCAACTGGCAGCCAGCCCTCCCACCACTGTGTGGTGAGTGTTTTGTTTGTTCATTATTTGCTATTAAACTACAGTATAAATAATATAAACCCATTCATGACTGCATATTGGAATGGCTATTCGGACAGGTATTGGACGGTGACATCATGTGTTTACTCTTGAACACAGCAAAGAATCAAACATTTCTCCTACTGCTAATAATAACAATAGTAATAACAATAATAAATACGATAGAATTGAAGAAGGAAATTGTACAAAAATACGAGGGAGTGGTTGACACATTATCAGTGTGGCTTTGTTTATGCTGGAGTGAGCATTAGTCTCCATGCTCTTCCAAACATTTCACAGTAATGCATTGTGTTTGGTGCTTGTAGATTGAGTGCGACTGGAGTGGTAGAGGCAGTGGTTGAGGAAGCGGTTGAGGAAGCGATTGAGGAAGTGGTTGAGGCAATGGGTGAGGCAGTGGGTGAGGCAGTGGGTGAGGCAGCGGTTGAGGCAGCATTTGAGGCAGCGGTTGAAGCAGTGGTTGAGGCAGTGGTATTTAAAGACATGTTATTATTAATAATAATAATAATAATAATACATGTTATTAATAATATGTACTATTATTATTTATAACATATATGTTATTAAATACCACTGCCTCAACTGCTGCCTCTACCATTGCTTCAACTGCTGCCTAAACCGCTGCCTCTACCATTGCCTCAACCGCTGCCTCAACTGCTGCCTCACCTGCTGCCTCAACCACTGCCTCACCCGCTGCCTCACCCACTGCCTCACCCACTGCCTCAACCGCTTCCTCAACCACTGTCTCTACCACTCCAGTCGCACTCAATCTACAAGCACCAAACACAATAAATTATTGTGAAATGTTTGGAAGAGCATAGAGACTAATGCTCACTCCAGCATAAACAAAACCACACTGACGATGTGTCAACCACTCCCTCGTATTTTTGTACAATTTCCTTCTTCAATTCTATCGTATTTATTATTATTATTATTATTATTATTATTATTATTATTATTATTATTATTATTATTATTATTATTATTACTATTGTTATTATTAGCAGTAGCAGAAATGTTTAATTCTTTGCTGTGTTCAAGAGTAAACACATGATGTCACCATCCAATACCTGTCCAAATAGCCATTCTAATATGCAGTCATGAATGGGTTTACATTATTTATACTGTAGTTTAATAGCAAATAATGAACAAACAAAACACTCACCACACACTGGTGGGAGGACTGGCTGCCAGTTGCGGGGGTCAGAGAGAGGGTAGTAGGGACTCGCAGTGGTTGAGGAAGTGGAAGCAGTGGTATGCATTTAGTACAATTTACAAAGTTTTCATGTATTTTATGATTGTTCATGGTTCAACAAGTTAAGGAAGCAGTATTGTATTATATTTCCCTACAATATATTGGGGTACCAAACATTCACGATTTTTCAACATTCACGAGGCTCTTGATCCCCTAACCCTCGTGAATGTTGAGGGAGACCTGTATTGTTTATTATGGACTTTATTTTTAATTTTTTTTTTTATTTGTGAAATTGGTCAAATTACTGAATTCTGATTATTTTACAGGGTAGTTGAAATAATTGAATGTGCAGTTTCTTGTACTCAGTTGATAAAATGGAAGGCATACTAGTGAAAAAGCTAAGATTTTGGTCGAGTGGAACATTGGAATTCTCCTAAAATAGAGCTCAAAGTGGACAAAATCACCAGTGTGCAAATTACGGTGAAACTGCTATCGTTGTGCCTGTGTAATTCCATAAGTTTTTCATCAAATTTTGTACTTTTTGTGTCATCACCTTCAGAAAAAGATTCTCTACCTGTTCAGAAGATTTTTTTTTTTATGACATTGAGCGTAAGTAGATTGCAGTGATATCCACTGTACCAAGATTCCATGATGTTGCTGTATCTGACAAGTTGTATATCAGTGATATTAAATACTGTTGGCATCACAACCCACTTGCTGACTCCTGGCTCAACTCTTGGGTATGACTTCCACTGGGGTATCCTGCCTACAAGTGACAGTACCTTCATCTGATGCCAGTATATAAGCACCAATCTTCCTGCCTGTGCTCCACATTCTTCAAGACTATGGTGCTCATCACCTGCTCCTAGACTGGTGGACTGATTGCCATATCTTCCACTGTCTGCTATGTACAGGCTGGCCTCGCTTTACAGCGCTTTGCTTTACTGTTTTGCTAACGCAGTGGTTTTTCAGTTATGCCCATTCTTCATTTATTCATACTTCCTATAATAAATATATTCACCACTCACTATAAGCTAAGGACAAAAATATTTTAAGGCAAGTGATGTGTGTACTGTATATGCATTTTAAGGCCTAGCTCTATTGTTCACTTAATATATGATAGTGTAAACATGTTATCAGGCTTTTATATCCCTTTGAAAGTGAAAAAAAAAGCTATGTTTAACTTTACAACTATTTTTGCTTTATAGCAGTAGCCCAAAACCTAACCTGCTGTATAAGTGGGACCCTTCTGTGCAACATAGCTAATTTAGATAATAGTGACATTTGTAAGAATGATCAGAAAATGAAAAGATTTTAGAGCAAGAAAGCAAATGAAAAAATTTGAGATGAAAGCCTGTGGTTATTTTAAGTTTTTGGGTTGTGTGCCAACCACCAAAAGATGGCCACTACAGATTTCTTTGCAGTTTACCCATCAGTAGAATCCTCAGTAACTCAAATTCTTATAATTTAGAATATAAAGGCACAAAACTGTGACTGAAACAGTACACACACAACCCGCACATAGGAGATAGAAACTCATGATGTTTCAGTCCAAGTGAGACTGAAATGGTGTCATTAGTTTCTTTCTCCTTTATGTGGATTATTTGTTTATTTTGATAATTTGCAATAATGGGCAAAATCAGCTGATATTTTAAATAATTTATTTTTAATATTTATTACAGTATATCTGTATATTATAGGGAATCAAATACAGAACAGGAGTTGACACAGTTACTTTTTGCTGATGATACTGTGCTTTTGAGAGATTCTGAAGAGAAGTTGCAAAGGTTAGTGGACGAGTTTGGGAGTGTGTGTGAAGGTAGAAAGTTGAAAGTGAACATAGATAAGAGTAAGGTGATGAGGGTATCAAACAATTTAGATAAAGAAAAATTGGATATCACGTTGGAGGGAGGGAGTACGGAAGTGAATGTTTTCAGATATTTGGGAGTAGATTTGTCAGCAGATGAGTTTATGAAGGATGAAGTTAACTAAAGAATTGATGAAGGAAAAAAGGTGAGTGGTGCATTGAGGTATTTGTGGATACAAAAATTGTTATCCATGTAGGAAATGACAGGAATGTACTAGAGTATAGTGGTGCCAACACTTATATGGGTGTGAAGCATGGATTGTAAATGCTGCAGCAAGGAGGAGGCTGGAGGTAGTGGAGATGTCGTGTCTAAGGACAATGTATGGTGTAAATATTATGCAGAGAATTCATAGTGTGGAAATTAGGAGGAGGTGTGAAGTTACTAAAAGTATTTGGAGGGTTAAAGAGAGGTTGAGGTGGTTTGGTCATTTAGAGAGGATGGAGCAAAATAGGGTGACTTGGAGGGTGTATAAATCTATAGTGGATGGGAGGAGGGGTAGGGGTCATCCTAGGAAAGAATTGAAGGAGGGGGTAAAAGAGGTTTTTGTGTGCAAGGGGCTTGGACATACAGCAGACATGTGTGAGTGTGTTAGATAGGGG